TTACATTATAAGAAGTTAAAAGCATATCCAGCCTTGTGAAGCAAAAGGCACTGGGGGAGGCAGACCTGGAAGCGGGTGGAGTGGAGCCACTGCCTCCTTGGTGGGAAACCATGGCTCTTCACCAGTGCTGGGGGAGATGGGGAGTGACGCGGTGCACCCCGACTGCGGCTCCTGGGCAGCGCACGGATTGCAGCTGCGAGTTTCGGCTTCCCTCGGACCTCTTCCTGCCCTTGAGCAGTGGGTGCTCCCTGCGTAAATACGAATCCGCTAACACTGACATGCGGACTGGTGGAAATGCAATGGTCTTCCCTTCTCTCGGCCACGCTTTTTCCCCTCCCACTGGCGTTGAACTGGAGAGGCTGTGGAGCAGCTGCACGTAGGCTGCTCTCCTGTGGTATTTAGGCAGAGGACTGAGGAGTGACTTGCATTCATATAACCTATAGGCTCAGCACATGGGATGGGACACGGTTTTAGCTTATAGCAGAAAATGAGGAAAAAGTCCCTAGTTGTAGGAGACTTGAGGATTGTGTGATGAGGTGGATATGCCGAAGAGCTCTGTCTGGGTCTGTTCCTCTCCTTCATGAGGAGCAGCAAGGTGGACTTCACCTGTTGGGCTGCCTTTGAGCAATGTGCAAAGCCACCATGACTGTCCCGGTAGCTCCTGTGGTATGAAAAGAGGGGTGGCCAAAAAGCTGCTTAAGGGAAAGAGGAGAGCTATTTACACTGAGCCTTTTATGCAGCGTTGCTGGTGTCAATTCAATACATGTTGAAGACTACTCAGACTCCCTTCCAAAAACAGGCAAAGTTACAAAGATTAGGCTAAGAGAGGGAATAAATCGTCCTGTCATCTGAGGATGTCTGTGTTTGCCAAGCAGCCACTGCAGAAGTGTTCCTGTGACCATCTTTGTTCTCCAAGGCCCCAGGAGAGCCTGCCTGTGCCCGTCACCAGAGGACTCCTTGAACAGCTGTCTCCAAAAAGTTAAACCTGGTACGTGGAAATCAGACTCTTATTAAAGTTTCTTACATCATCATTAGCAACATGGCTAGGGCATAGCTGGGAATTGTTTGTGAGGTAGGAGGTGAAGCTAATTTAGCTCATCCTCTGAGGGCTGTCTGGGGTCTGCGGGGCTGCTTCTGTCAGTAAAGTGCTCGGGTAGGACCTCAGAGGCAGAGACAGCGCATGGAGCCATTTTGGTCGGTGCAGCTGTGCTTCACATCAGAGCACAGTGCCATGGCTGAATGTTCGCAGGCCTGCGAGGTGAGGGCTGTGCTTCTGGTTTTCATTAGAGGTCTTTAGCTACCACTCCTGGTGTCCTTGAGTGCTGGCAGACACCCAAGCTGTAGCAAAGTGTGATGTTTAGGGTGATGTTCTTATGCTCATCAAAAACGCTAGGTACCAAGGGGTGGCTGAGGAGGGATTTGTTTTGTTTGTTTTGGGTAAAAAAAAAAAACAAACCACAAACAAACAAACAAAAAAAAACAACGAGGGTGAGGGTCATTGAACACAGTGTCCCACATCTCTGGATCTGGGAAACACACCTGTAGCCTTGGCACAAGCCCTCCTCTGAGTGCACTATCAAAGGAACCACGTAGTGAAACAAGTGGTGTGATGGAGGCTTTCATGGTTGCTTTCCTGAGTGCTCTGA